CTGAGTGCCACTGTCATAATCCACCCTGTCATGATCTCCTTTGATTTTCACACAGCCTTTGGATAAAGGGAATGTCCTTACTTCACTGGAGACAGAGGTCAGCCTTTCGTAGTTAAATGGCCCAGACTCCTCACCTTCAGGAGAGTTGGCCAGGATTCAGGGAGGTGGCAGGGTATTTCTTTTTCTCATGGGTGGTTAATGGGAGACATGGACCTCAGCTCTAGCCAGATGAGTTGGCAACCAGACATTTTGGATTTAGACAGATAAGAATTAGGTGAAAGGAAGTTTAATAACCATTTTAACACCCATGAAGGATCATTTTGCAAAGGATAAGGATCTTCTGTTTTCTTTCTACTCAGAACATGAAACTAAATTGCAGCAGTAAGGATTCAAGTTACGAACAAAGAAGAATTCTGTAACACAAGGACTCCTGAATACACTTTTTTCTACATACAACTTACTAGGGGTGGTTGGTGGTTTAGCTCTGGTTCTTCAGAGACCTGCCAGCCACTACAGTATTCCTTTCTCATTCTTGAGGCTTCTTTTTGCTGAGTAATAAGTGTGGGGTTTATACTAATGACTGGGAAGAAGAGCCAGTGATTTTCTAGACTTCCTGAGTCTCCTGTGACAGTGAAAGTTTTTCCCTGTGCTTCCCCAGTTGCATCTTCTCGCTCCTGCTCCCCTTTGATCATCTTCCACCTGAAAAGAGCCCAGCTGTGCACATGGTGTGCTTGCTAGGATTGAGAGCGATGACTTGTGTGGGATTGCTTGCTTTCCTGGTTCTTGAAGACTTCTAGGTGCAAGGTCCTAAGGTAGAGCGTGAAGAATAAAATAAGTTCAAGGTCGTACCTCAGTTTACCACCACCACCGCCACCACCTTTCACCTAATTTACTGCAGCAGCCTACTAATTGGTCAACATGCCCTCTGTTTTGGTCCCTCATCCCCAACCCATTCTCTCTACTGTAACTATAGTGATCTCTTTCCAAAGTATAAGTCTGATGTATCCCTCACCTGCATAAAATCTGCCAGAGGCTCCTCATTGCCCTCAGGATGAAGTCTAAACTGCTTTGCATGACCCACAAGGCCCTCAAGTGCTCCAGGCCCTTGTGTTTTGAGCCTCATCTCCCCATTTCTCCCTTTGCGCCCAACGTTTCTGCTTCTTATGGTCCCCAAATGAGTCTTGTTCTTTCTTACCTCCAGACCTTTACTTACACTGTTCCCTGTGCCTGGAATATTATCCCCTCATATTCACTTCTCTTCTGAATAATTATGATTCCTATTCCAGATTTCATTTTAGATCAGCGGTTCTTAACCATCATGAATCAATCTGATGGAAACAATGGACTCTCTCTACAAAAAACAAATATGTACTCCTGTGTGCTTATCATTTTGCATACAGTTCAGGGCACAGGAATCCCTGTTTAAGAACTTTTAATGCTGAGCCCCCTTTTCTAGCATTTAACACATTTTGTAATTGTTGGTTTACTTCTCTTGCTCTCTCTCTCTCTCCCCCCCTCCCTAAACAGCTCTATGAGGGCAGGGCCATGACTTCTGCACCATTGTGTCCTTTGAGCCTAGCGTATGCTTGGCACACAGGGTCTGTTGGATACATGTGTACTGAATGAATGAATGAGTGAATCAACAAATATCTGCCTTTGAGTGGATCATGTTTATTTGAAAGAATAGGCCATGCATATTAACAGACGACAAGCCGAAGATGGAAAGAGCTAAAAAGATATGCAACCAAGAGACATTTTCTGAACATTCAGAGTCTAAGGTGGCTGAGCAGGGCCTCTGTGAAGAACCAACAGAAGAAGCCTTTGAGTTGACTTTGAAAATGGAAGTACTTAACAAGGCTCATGTTCTGTTTTCTAGAACTGTTTTGTTAAAGTGGTAGAGGTGAGTGAAGGAGCAACAACGACCAAACCTTTGATGATTTTTGCCTCGTAGGAATTAACTGGATTCCGTGGAATTATGAGATGTCATGAGAAAGCCTGTATTCTTCCTTTCTTTCCTTGTTCCAACAAATATTTTTTAAGTGCTTGTTATATGTTACACACTATGTGAGGTGTTGAGGATATCTTCAAAAATAAGCTGACAAGATCCCATTCTTCTTGGCTCTTGCTTGCTATGTATTAAGTACCTCAGAATTTGTTGTCCTCAGAATTTGGACCAAGGGAATACTTTTAGCAAGGTCATTAGTTAGGGTTAGGTTTAAATTATAGAGGGATTGAATAGAAATGAATTGAAATCTAGAGTTAGGCCAAGATTCAAATCCCAGTCTCTGACTAGCCATGTACAAATGCCTCTTGAAATGCCAATTCCATAATTTGTAAAATGGAGGTAATATAATTGATTTACTGAGGTTGTTATAAAGGTTAAATGAATTAAGGTTTATAAACCCGTAGCAGAGGGCTTGGCACATAGTAGTAACTATTATTACTATCGCTTTCAGGGGCTGTTTAAGCTGAAGTCTTAATTTGGGGCAGTAATTTCTGTTGGTCCGTAAGAGATAAGATTGGATTTTATTTTTTTTTAATTTATTTTTTTATTGTTCAATTTCGGTTGTCCCCATTTTCCCACCATTACTTTCCCCTGCCTCACCCACCCCCACCTCCTACCCTCAATCCTTCCTGTAGATTGGATTTTATAAATCTGTAATGTACACAGGTCTACAATTTCCGTAAGGGAACTCTTAGAGAAAATAAGTATTGTCTTCAAGGCCATAGTTTTTCTTTCACCTGTTTTTTTCCTTGCTTATTGATGTTTTAAGTACTTAATGTAAAAAATAGTAATTTCAGAGTCATGTTAGAGAAGCAGGGAAAGAAGTCTCAAAGGTCCCACCATCTAGAAAACTAGGTCTTAACATTTTTTGGACATTTGAGGCTGATAAAAATGATTTGTCATCTCCCCAGAAAATTCAGAGTTTTGTTCATATATAAATATTTTTCATACAATTTCATGAATTTCCACTTGTTTACCCAAAGTTACAAAACCCTCATGTGACTCCCAAGCACAAGTTTCAGAGAGAGAGAAAATCATCAGGCTAGGCTCTGATTTCACACTCACATAAGGGCTTCTGAGTCTCGTGGTTCTTGAGGTCAGGTTGCTCTTTTTTTTTTTATTTTTGCCTAAATTCTTAAGCTAAGTATTGGTTATTTTTGATGATCTTTTGCAACATAATTACCAACCGCACTCTGATTTCCTTGTGGGTATGTTTTTGTTTGCATACTTGGAGTAAACTCAAGAAAGATTGTTAGAGCCTAACTTATGGGTAGAGGAGAAATCCATCATCTTTTCCTGTTTCCTCTTCGCTTGTTTGTCTTGCCTCAGGGCTCTTGGTGCTGAGGCCTTTTGACTGGCTTGTACGAGCAGCCAGAGGGAAGAGAGAACAAGGTGGAGGGCTCTGGTCTACCTGATCTGGCAGTGAAGGTAGCAGGCAGGGTTTGGAATGTGCCCCCTTCCTTCCTGCTCCAGTCATTCATAGCTAGAACTCTTGTCAGGGTGGGAACTGTGGGCTGGTGGCGGAATCATGTGCAGCCCATGTGGCTTGGAGGTAGGTGTCTGCAGCCCACATGCTGTACTGTACTTATTTTCTTGGCTCCAGTGCACAAATTCCACAGAGAGAAAACAACCTCCCAGGCTCTCTTTTCACACTGGCATGAGGGCTTCTGAATCCCTGTTTCTTTCAGTCAGGTTGCCCTTTATTTCAGCCTACAAAGACACATGTCTTTCCTGCCTTTTCCTTCTGAAATGAGCACCCATTGTTGGATGAGCCTGGCTCTAATAGATGTCTGTGCTGTATACCGAGGGCAGGCTGAAGTAAATGGCCTCAGGACTGTGCAAATGTGGTGCTGCTGCTGCCCTCGTTCATAGGCCTACGTCCTCTCTTTCTTGGATTATTGTCAGGATCTCCCAACTGCTCTCCCTGACTCTGATCCAGCTTCAACCATGCATTCAAAATTTCATTCAAAAACATCCATTTGTTGATGTCATTCCCATCTATAAAACCTCTCAGCGGTACTACTCTTAGGGTCAAGTCCAAACTCATTTGCATGACCTACAGGGTTCTGTAAGTCCTAACCTCTTTGGCTTCCTTCCTCACTGTTACCCCAGACACCAAGTGCCAGCCACACCAGCCTTTTGCTGTTGCCTGAATTTATCATTTTGGCAGTTTCCTCCCTTTAAACTTAGGGTTGATGCATCCGGCTCATCTTTCTTTACCTTTGCTGCCTGTGAAGCACTCCGTTCTGTAATACCCAGTTCAAAAGTGACCTCCTAGGATGCCTTCCCAGATTCCCCAGGCGGGGTTTCTTGCTTTGTCTTTTGCATTCTTGGGATTTAATACTGTGTTTTGATTACTGGTGGAGACTCTAGAGTCAGAATCATTGGTTTTAATCCCAGGCTGGCTGACCCTTTCCTAGATTTGCATCAGATTCTTCATCTGTAAAATGGGGGTAATATTAATAAACCTCATAGGTTGTTCTGAAGATTAAAAAAGGCAACACTTCAAAGTGCCTAAGACAGTGCTTGGTCATAGTTGCTAAATGTTACTTTTTATTCTTGCTGTTATCACAGTTGCTTTGCATGTGCCTCTACCAGTTCTTACCACTTCTGTTTATTAATATTTTTATGAATCTGCCCTACTAGACCATGTGTTCTTTGCGGACAGATGCATACCTTTTTCACTTTTTTGGCCTTTCTGTGTAGAGTTTTACAGTAAATCTTGGCTGAATGAGTTATTGCACACAGACTTGCCTTCACAATGGAAATGGGCAACAGACAGAGTGGGGAATCTTACAATCAAGTTTGTGGATGACCACTGACACAAAGTTGATGTGACCTGATGTGCGCTGAAGTCCAGAACGAATTCCTTCTGCTCACTTCCAGAGCGCACTCAGTGCTTTTATGTTACCAAGACAAGGCAGGGGGCTCTGTGAAAGTTAAGCATACTCTAAGTGCCAAGTTCACGTCCGTTTCGTTGTGTTTTGAATTGTAGGTGACATGTCTGAGAGTAAAGCCAAGAAGATTGAAATCAAGGATGTGGACGGGCAGACGCTGAGTAAACTGATAGACTACATCTATACGGCCGAAATTGAGGTGACTGAAGAGAACGTCCAGGTAAACTCAGACCCAGCTAGTAGCTCAGTGTATAGCACACTCAGGCCCCACCATTTTAGAGCATCCTTTTATCTAACCCTCACAACAACTTAGTTGGTAACTATAGAGGAAAGTTCCCAAGAGGTTAGGTGATTTGCTCTGGGTCATATGGTTAGTAGGTGGATGAACGGCCTTCAGACTCATGCCTGCCTGACCACAGTGTCATACTCTTCACCTCTAGGCCATAAGACCTCAGAAGGAGTTTGGGCCCCAGAACAGAAAGTCTTTAACTCATGTTAGTTCAAACTCTTGGTGAAGGAAGAACTAAAAGCCTAGATGACTCTACTCCCCAGTCACCATCTCATCTCAAGGATTTTGAGTTTTGTATTGTTAGGTTGTTAAAAATGTTTTCCTGTTTCTACATTAGTCAACTGAATGCCTCTGAGCACATGGAGGTACCAGGCACCGGACCTGAATCTCGACAGGGGCGTCTGGCTGTGAAATATGTTGTCTTGTGCTTTTTCTTCCTTTCACTGCCCTGCCCTCATCCTCAGACATCTGGAACTTTGAAGACAGGAGTCAGCAAAGATGCTGCTTCACCTAAAAGCACAGGTCTTTACTGTGAGGATGTGAGGCTCAGCAACACGCTGCAACAGGGAGATGGGTGAGGGCGTGGCCCCATCTGTACCCCTTGAAATCACCAGGCTGGACAGAGACACAGGATTACAGTATTTCTTGTCATTGAGGATCTCACTATTTATTTAAAGTACTGGAAATGTCATGTGATATGAAGGTTTTTCTTTTTTTTTGTTTTTTAAAGCATAATTCTGCTTATTTATTGTGAGGCAGATGCCTCTCTAGTGACCAAAATACCTGCTACCCTTATCCATATTGAGTGCATATTACACACTATGCACTTCGTTGGACAATGTGGTTATAACAGTGAGCAGTGGTGATTCCTTTGCCTGTTCTCATGTAGTTTGTAGTCTAGGGGTGAAGACAGATGCTCATTAAATAAGCTCACAAGTAGTAGTTATGCCCAAATTATGGTTAAGTCTTTGAAGGAAAGGAACATGGTATACAATGAGAGAGTATATAAAGGGACTGACTCAGTTTAGATGGAGGAGGGGACTCGGAAGGTCTCTTTCAGGAGATAATGTAACCCGAGGCCTGGAAATAAGTGGGAGGTAGCTTGTTGGTGAAGGATACTCATAAATGGGAGAGGCATTTAGGGTGCAGGCCAGGCGAGGGTCTGCGGCACACTGCATTTGGGCCTGCAGAGCCTGCCCCACATTAGAGCCTGCCTTTGTCTCTGGGCACTGGACAGGCTCTTGCATTGTATTGTAATCTGGCCTAATCCTCCCCCCACTCTTTTTAAAATGAGATATATATTATACACAGTAAAATGCACAGCTATTCCATTTTCTTTCTGCTCTTTACCATTCAGAGTGGAGTGAGCAGTGCAATAGTTACATCCTAGGTCTAGCAGCAGGGTTTGAACAGCTGAATGACTTTTGATTAGTAACAGTAAGTGCAAATAACTTAGTATAAAGTGAGCATAGGGCAAATATCTAAAAATTTTTTAAAATGGATGGTGGCCAGATCAAATTACCATCACATTTAAACTCATTTAGGTACTTGATGTAAATATTGAGATTTACAAAATGCATGGAATTACATTCTTTGCAACTCTAATGAGAAACACTAGTTAGATGTCAACCTAAAAATGAGCAGGGGGTAAATAATTTTTAAAACGCTTACATTAGGGTATGTCAGTAATTAATCATATAGCACAGTTGGCAGAAGAATGGCCCCCAAAGATGTCCATGTCCCAGTCCTTGGAATTTGTTAGGTTAAATGTCAAAGAGAATTTAGTGTTTCAGATAGAGTTAATGTTGCTAGCCAGTGGACATGCTGTGGGCAGGCTATGCTGGATTATCTAGGTGGGTCCAGTAACAGGAAGGGCCCTTCAAAGTGGAAGAGAGAAGCAGAATAAGTAGAGTCAGAGAGATGGGACCTGATAAGAATTCAACTAGATGTTTCTGGCTTTGAAGACGGGGGCCACAAGCCAGGAAATGTGGGGGGCCTCTAGAAGCTTGAAATGCAAGAAAACATTCTCCCTTAGAGCTTTCAGAAGGAACGCAGCCCTGTGGACACCCTGATTTAGCCTAGTGAGGTCCATTTGGGACTTCTCACTTAGAGACCTTTAATAAAAAAAAAAATTGTGTTGTTTTAAGCCACTACTAAAACAAGATAAAAAACAAACCCAAGTAACAGTACTTGTAGGGGAGGTTGTAGAACTGTTATGGTATGGTTGAAACCGACTTTTTCCCTCCCTTTTCATCGTGTATTTATTTAATAACTTGTTTGTAAAATACAGAGTATTTACAAGCTAGAGATTAAAGCTATTTCACTCTACATCCTTTTCACCTGGCTAGATATTCATCTTTGCTACTTTGGTCTAGCCCAGTAGTAGTCTCTATAACACCAGTATCTTAAGGGAGGTAGCAGCAGGTAGACTAATTAGAGGACTTTGGGGAAAATGGCTTCACCATCACCTTTTTAAAAAACTTTGTAGGGGTTGGAGCTTAGGACTGGAGTGAAGATGTGCAGGTTCAGAGGACATACAGAAACAGAGATAAGGCAGAAATTGAGTATGAATGGAGAACTGGGTCTGAATCTCAGCTTTGCCATTAATTCTCAGAGTACTCTTCTTCTAGTCCTTTCCCATTGCAGGGTGTTAGTTTCCCATCTGAAAAGTAAGGGCATGAGACTCAGCAACCTCTGGCTGGAGAAGACTCCAGCCAGCCCCTGATTTGTTTTCTTTTCCTTATACTAGAGTTTCTCCAACGTCCACACTGACTTCCTGCCTTAAGGATCAGTTTTCTCACCTGTAAAGCAGGAATCTAAATGGTACCCATGTTATTGAGTAGTCATGAGTTAAACTATCTGCCTTCAAATCATGACTGACACTTTCTAAGCTGTGCCTCAGTGTTTTCAACTGTAATATGTGCATAATAGTAGTACACATAGGATTGGTGTGAGAATTAAATGAATTAATTTAGGTAAGGCACTTAGAAAAGTGGTACCCTGTGCCAGCAGACAATATGGGCCCAGAGAGCAATGTGGGCATAGAAGCCCTTTCACCAAGGAGCACATGGTCTGAAGCTGGAGACAGATGGCTAAGCACGGGTGCCCGATAGTGTCGTAGGGGCCAGGATGGAGGTACCCAGGAAGCAGAGAATGGTCAGAGCAGGCCTCAGTGAGAAGTGTTGTCTGGGCCAGATCTTGAAGAAGAGGTCAGGCGTGCCTTCTCTGCCCTCCTGTGTCCTCACTGGTGTGTGTGCCCCTGATGGACTTGCTGTGTTCATCTCTGTGTGTGGGGTGGGAGGGGCCAGTATGTGCAAGGGCTCCACTAGGAAGTACAATGTGGAACCTTCAGGGAACTCTGCCCTGTTTAGAATCAATGAGATATACTATTTTCCTTTTTTCCCCTCACTTTAAATTGTGGTTTGGGGTGACCTTGGGAAAAAACAAACAAAAAAGCCTTCTTCTTGCTCTTATGTATCTTCTGAGGCAGTTGCTCACAAGCTGTTTAAGACATCAACATTTGAAGATGTGGTTCACTGAGAAGGTGAGCATGGCGGCACTGGGGCCCTCCTGAAAGCCTTAGAAACAAGCGTCAGAGATTGGGGCTTGGTTAGATGGCTGAGAGAGCTGTGCCCTTAATCTCTTCCCGGCCACACATACCTTGGAGATACTGAGTTAACCTTCTGTGGTGGAGGTTACAATCGTCATAACTGACGCATTAATACTCACTGTAAGCCGAGCACGTGTTGATCATATCACATGCGTTATTTCCTATAATTCTCGTAACCACTAATGGAACGTCCACCTGTGACGTCCGTCTTTTCCAGCTGAAGAAACTGATGCGCGAAGGGGTTAAATGGGTACCACCCAGAGTCACATGGGTAGTAAGGGATAGAGTTCGGATTTGAATCCAGCTCTCTCCAACTCATTGTACTCCATTGATGTGGTGAACTTGAGTTTCTTTTTAAATGAATGACCAGAATCCTGACTTCAGTTCATAATTATTAATAATAAGGATCAATTTAACTGAGCACTCCCTATGCACCAAGCACTGTGTTAACTGCTTTAAGTGTATTATCTTATTTGATCCTTATAACAAGTCTTTAAGGCATTACCATTACTGTCTTCATTTTACTGTTGAGGCAGAGACACAGAGAGGTTAAGTAATTTGCCTTTAGTCACACGGCCGATACGTGGAGAAGTCAAAATCCAAGTAAGACTTTTAATTGCAGTGTTATTCTGCTGGCTCTCTTGTTCCCCTATACACTTCTCCCCTTTTCTTCCCCTATTCTTGTTCCCTCTCACCCTTCCCCTCCCTTTCTTTTCCTCAACAGATTTTTAATTTAACACTGTTCCTGTGCCAGGTCCCATGCCTGGTGCTGGCAGAGACAGACCCACAGTGTGGCTGGGGCAGAGGCCTTGGGCAGCCCTGTCACCTGGCCTCTAGCTGGTCCCCTCCCTTTGTGCATGGCTCTGCCTCCCTGAAATTCCAGGAGTAGGTGCTTTCTAAGGGAGGGCATTTCCTCTTGTTTTTGTTAAAGGAAATAAACTCTGTGACGGGATATCCTCTGCTGTGTTGTCATGTTATCCGAGGAAGAGAAAAAACAAAACGGGGCCTGCACATGAAAGATGGAGGGGAGGCCATTTGCAAGCTGGAGGGGAGCCTGTAACCTCTGTGCTGAGGGTCATTCCAGGGCCTGTTTTCCCAGAACCATAATACTGAAGTGGAGGGGGGAGAGCTAAAAGCTTTGACTTAAGATCGTCTTCCATTCCTGCTGTGGTTCCAGACAATTGCTCCTTCTCTGGTCTCAGCCTCCTCCATCCAGGGACCAGCACTGCCCTAGTGATTCCATTGGTCTCCCTGCAAAGCTGAGGATCCAGGCTTGGCCTTTTGTTTGAAATCTTGTTACTGCTGCCACTTGAGGCCAGATAAGAGAAGAGGAAATCTTCTAAAAGCCCTGGTTGATGGGGCAGAGGGAGGTGCGGACAGCCCCTCATGGATCTATGCTCTCTTTTCTTTCACAGCTTCTGGGGATTTGTGCTTGTGTTCACGTGTAGTCCCCAGAACCCCACTGGACTGGGGCCCAGTTTATCCCTGGGAGGTCAGAACTTACGCAGTGACATATCTCCCAGCCTCCAAACCTTCCCCCTCAGCATTCTGACTTCCTTTACTTTCCTTCACGCCTTCCTGTACGAAGTGAGTAGTGGGAAGAAAAGGGCCTTTGACTCATAGCTAATCGCAGTGTAAGATCAAAGAGAGGGAAGGAGCAATTAGAGAAACCACCAGCCCCATTTATTTTAGGAAGTAGGCTTGGGAAGCTTTTGTGCAGGAGAGGACCCAAACAGGATGGGGGGGGGGGGGTCGTATGGGAAGGTGGAAAACTTTGTAATTTTTGCCTATTAAGTGGGTTTTGTGAACAGTAGGGAAGTTGAAAGCTATGTGGGTAGCTCTATCCATGGAGGTTTTAAAAACTGAAAGTTATAACCTAAGGAATGTGTTCAGGAAATGTTTATTATTTTATTTTTTTGGCTGGTTGTCATGAGCTTGGGAATTTAAGCTCCAAATTGAGCTGCTGTCCATGTGGTGAAGAAGAGGGCAAGGGGGAAAGGGTGTGAGTCCCTGGCATGATCTCATCTTGGTTTGGCTGGGAATGCAATCTGGGTTGGATGGGACTCTCAGAAATCCTCGTGTGTGGGGTTAAAGGGCTGCTGTCCCATTCTTGCCTCTGCGCACCCTTGACCCTTTTGGGGCTTGCCACACCACTGAGTAGAGTGTGTGCTGGACAACAGTTGATGAATCCTCTCCACCAGGGCTGCTTAGGGTCCCTGGTTAGAAGTTCTTCCTCCCTAGGGTGAAAAAAACTGACCCTGGGATATAGGACTTTCAATGCTAAAACTGGCAAAGTCTCAGCAAACCAGGATGGTTGGTCAACCTGCGGCCCTCACTGTAGGGTTTGTAGATACTGCTGGCAGGGTGGTGGCATGGAGGTGATTTGGGAGTTTGGAACAGAGCTCTCCGTTCCTGGTATGTATTCAGAAAGAACTGTTAATGGTTCTCCCCTTAACTAGGAGGCAGAGACTAATCTGGTCCTGGAATCTGTTTGGCTAGGCTCACAGCTTAATTTTCTCAGTTTATGACTGCTTAGCGGGGACAGTGGCTGCCTAGTGAGAGTGGAGCTTAAGAGGTCAGATTTGGAGCCTGGCTGTGTTCACTTGTGATCTAAAACTCAGGAGTGGGTGATTTTATCTTTGTCCTTCTTTGGAATGGATCAGGGTTTGGAAAATACCAAGGACACGATGCTAATTGACTATTGTCCTGCTGAGAGTGGAAGAGAGAGGGTGAAGGAAGAGAAGAGGAGCATTTTTTTCTAAAACTCAGCCCTCATGAAAGAGAAGTTTAATAAGCTTGTAGTTGGAAGAGCTTTCCTTACAGAGAGCAAGCACTTAGCTTGGGAGAAGGCCCACTGACAGCAGAGGTGCTAGGTGGTTTCTGCAAGTGGGCAGGGTTGAGAGAGAGTGACCTTCGGCCCCAGTGTTAGCATCGAAAGTCTTATGTGCTTGGAAACCCCTTGATCCTCAGCAAACCTGGATGACTGGTCACCCTAGTGAAGGGACAAGGCCTAAGAATGGGCAGTGGAGCAGAGTTTTTGGCCTGAGCACATGCTGGTGAGGTGAGCCAGAGCTGAGACCTAGAACTGTTTTGGGAGATCGTCAGAGTCCAAAATTTAAATTACTGGGAAAGAAAAAAAGACTTTTGTAGTGTCCTGAGTCAAGAAAATAAATGCACCTGTAGCCTTGTCTGCCTGGGCATGCCCTTGTGGATGGGAACAGCTGAAACCTGGCTGGCCCAGGCACCCTCTGAGAGCCGGGGAGCAGCTAACAGCAAGGCCCAGGGTGTGGCCATTGTTTGGGGGTGAAATGGATGCTGTGGACCCTGTGCTAAGCAGCCTCAAATCAAACTAATTTTTTTCCTAAATTTCGTTTTTGAAGGTCACACACATACTTTTTGTCTCCTCCACAGGATGAGGGTTAGGGGAAGCAGAGCTGAGGTCATGCAGGACTCTGGCCATCTCTCCCCGGCAGTGTGGGAAAGGCCTAGGGGACTTGACAGGGGTTGGCAGGCTGAGCACCCATCTGGCCTGCTCAAGCCAGTCTTCCCTGGCTTTTAGGAAAAACACATGCAAGCACACCTGAGAAGGACATTCTTCTGGCTTCCAGAAAACAATATAAATACTCATGTGTCTTGTGACCTTTTAAAAGGAAACAGCTCTCCTTTCTCTGAGATTGTACCTAAAGATGTTCTCTTTATCTGTTGGATGGGAGAATAACGGATGTTTATCTGAGTCCCAAGGGATGTGGTGGTGACTCCCATGTTCCAGTAGATTATAAGCTCCATTAGAGCAGGGGTCTGACTTGTGCTTACCACTCAATCTTAGAGTCTAGACCAATGCTTGGCACACAGACATTCAGTAATTAAGTGGTGAGCCAGCTAGTGAACAATTCAGTAAGTACTTTTCTGTTTGAAGACAGTCTGCTAATGGCCGTAGGGCAATGATTCTCAAACTTGACTACACATTAGAAGTATCTGGGGAGCTTTAGAAACATCTCACTGTCCAGGCCACACTCCATTCCTCTTCAGTTAGAATCTTGGGGGTGGTGAGACCCAGGCATCAGTATTTTAAAAATTCTCTAGATGATTTTAATGTATCGCCAAGTAGAAGAATCAATCTATTGTAGTCTGTTTGGGATGCTATAACAAAATATCAGATTGGGGGGCTTTAACAGCAGAAACTTATTGTGTCACCGTTTTGGAAGTTGGAGGTCCCAGATCAAGTTTCCAGCTGATTCTGTTTCTGGTGAGACCCTCTTCCTGGCTTGCAGAAGGTCTCCTTCTCCTTGTGTCTGAGGGGGACGGGTAGAGAAAGAGAAAGAACGAGAACACCGATGTCTCTTCTTATAAGGGCACCTTAGGGCCCCACTCTTATGACCTCATTAACCATTGTTACTTCTTAACAGGCCCTATCTCCAAATATAGACACATTAGGCATTGGGACTTCAACATACAAATTGTCAGGGGTGGGGCACAAACATTCAGTTCTTAAGGGTCTTGATACTCAAAGTGCAGTTCGTGAACCAGCAGCTGCAACTTCATCTGAGTATTGGTTAGAAATTCAGGCTCTCAGGTCCCACCCTAGACCTATTGAATCTGAATCAGCATTTTAATAAGCTCCCCAGGGAATTAATATAGGCATTAGTGATCAGGAAGCACTGCTGTGGTCTCTAGGGATATAGAGAATAGGCTGGTGCTTAAGAGTCCACAAAGTGGAGAGTAGTGGGAAATAAGGCTTGGGTTGCCCTGATGGCCAGATCAGGAGACTTGGATTCACTTGGGCAGGCAGTGGAGAGCCATCCATGCAAGGACTATGAGCATGGGCATAGTTAAGATTAGAACAGTGCTTTAGGGAGAGGAGGCACTGTTGTAAAGATCCAGTGTCTCAGAATGTCACCTTCTCCTCCAGGTGCTGCTCCCAGCAGCCAGCTTGCTGCAGCTCATGGATGTTCGGCAGAACTGCTGTGACTTCCTTCAGTCTCAGTTGCATCCCACCAATTGCCTGGGCATTCGTGCATTTGCAGATGTGCACACCTGCACTGACCTTCTGCAGCAGGCCAATGCTTACGCAGGTAATGGGGAGCTGGGCTGCCACACCTCCTCCAAGTATGTGGACTTAATAACCTGGTCTGCTGTGGATTCCTCAAAGGCTATGAGAAGTGCACTCTGCTGTGAAGCAGTTACAATTTAGTCAGGGAGGTAAGACACAGGTGGAAAGATCATTAGCAATAGAAGAGTTCAGCTCATTGCCAAGTATAATATGATTGATTATCAGATGGATGATACAGACAGTAATTTTCATGAGAGAAGAGGAAGGAGATCTGAGAAAACTTCATGGGGGAAGAGTAATTTGAGCTAGGTTTGAAATAAGTGTCTATTTTGATCAAAGAGTTCTTTAAACAGGATTTTAACTGTCAAATACTATTGCAAGGCTTATAATGATAGGCAAGAGTCCCGTGCTCTGCCTTTCCATACAAAGTCTTGTTCTTTAGAGCCACTCACTTTAATTCTAAAAGAATTAAAATGCAGGCTCTGATTCAGCTAAAACCTGTTTCATCTATTTATCTTCACTTATCTAAATATTGATAATATGTTTATATCACTATTTTTAGAATAATTAGTTTTAGATATTATCTGTTGTTTTTTCACAGAAGAGTAAGACTGAACTTTTGTATTTTATAGACTTTACCCTCATTATAAATACATCCTTCCCTTCTCTTTATTCCTCTAATATAATTTCTTCAACTGAGCTGTTATATGTTATAATTACAGTTTTTTAATTTGAAAACTTTTGTTTTAAGTCAGAAAGACAGTAGTAATTGCCTTTTTCTTTTGCATAGTGAGTTACTACCACTCATTTTTGTTAGGTAGAACTGAACAGCCCTTCTCAGTACATCAGATTATCTGTTTGATTTTGTTCTATTTTTCTTAGAGACAGTCTCCCTACTAGAATTTGTCATCCTGTTATTTTAAGGTCCTGTTATTTAATAGGGCTTTGAGAAGGAGTAGAGATAAATGTGACTATTCAGTCCACCATGTTAAGTGGAAAGAAGTCTTCATTGATATTTATCTCAACTTAAAGACAAAGACCATGACAGCCTAAAAAAATGGGTCTAGTCATTTTAATTGATAGATTCAGTAGTGGACACCTCCTTCCCTTGCAATAGATCATCTCATTCTTCCCCTGCCTAAACAAACACCATCTGTATTCTGTTTATGTCTTCTGTACAGCCCATGTCTGGAAACTAGCTGAGGGCCTGCTGGCCGACCACCAACCAGCTGCCTGTGCCACGTTAGCCCTTGGTCCACAAAGCAACAATCACACCCTGTGTTTCTTGGCATCCTTTTGTTCTTTGATCAAGCTTCAGACCCCTAGAACCAATATAGATTCTCATTTCTCCCTGCAGTCTGTTTCTGAGACACAAATGGGACCAGTTGTTAAGATGATCTTGATGATGATGATTTTTGTGAAGGACATTCCCCAAATTCCCAATTCTGAATTCTGTGGGCTCTTTCTGACTCTGAACCTTGACTCTCCTGTTTCTCTGCTATCACTCCTGTGCTCTCTTTTCCCTATATATTCCCCACCCCTTTTTCACTTTTTCTCAGGGAGTCTTTTCTCTCTCTGGAGAGGGCTCCCCAGCCCAGTCTTTGAAGAGGGCACTTTCTTGAGGGATGTGCACAGGCTTTGCTTTAGCAGCAGCCAAGAGCTTGGCTACGGCCCAGGTCGGCTCATGAACATCTGCTGGTGCAGTGACAAAGGAAGAATGCTTGGATGCCAGAAATTCTCTGACTCCCTTCCTTTTGTCCTTCTCTAGGCCTCTCCTTGTACATTCTGTGTGTGTGTGCATATATGTATGCGCACACATGGCACATATCCCCTCCTCTTGTATGTAGTTGGCTAACATGATCATCTGAGGTTTGGGAATGTACTGAACTCTCCCACCTTTAACAGAGGCCCCCAGGTTCTTCTGGCCCGACTTTTCCCCACTTTCAAAATCTGTGTTTTCTCCCTTTGTCCCTTTCATTGCCTGATGGTGAGACTCACCAATAGAACAGTGAGGAGGATGCATTTGGGAGCATACCATTGTGGTGGTGCTCCCTGGTCCTGATGTTGTTGCAGTGACTGGGATCTGCCAGCATTGTGGACGTGTACACGCACAAATGTGTGTATGCGGAAATCATGATGAATTGTTTTTAGCTAGTATTTATTAAGCTCTCACTTTGGATCACGTCCTATGCTAAGCATTTTATGTATGTCATCTCATTTAATGCATACAAACAGCTAAGGAAACTAAGACACAGAGAGGTGAAGTGATTTGTTGGAGTCACACAGCTGGTAAAGATGGAGGTAGGATTCAAACCCAGGCAGTGCTGACTCCAGAGCTAGTGATTATAACTACTATGCTCTATGGCTTCCAGGCCCTATTTGGACTTAAGGCGGCCCTGTGAATCAGTAATTGAGGAGCGTTGGTGGCTAGAGCTGGCATTTTCCATTGGAAATGTGAGCCTGGAAGCCTGTGCCACCTAGTCAGATACTAACAACCAGACAGTGTAGACAGATGGCCGGCTGTCTCTGCTAAACACAGGCTGTTTAGTCATCTTGGTGTGGGGAAGTGAGGTGTGGATGTCTTCTCTTCCCCGCATGTGTGAGCTCTCCTATTTTCCCTGGCTCAGTCAGTGCAACCTCCGGCTGAGGGCTGCTTCCCTGTCATACAGGGCATCTGTGGAGCCTGTGACCATCTTCTGGTCACAGCTCTCTTTGCAGCCTGCAGCAGGGAAGTCATGGAAATACAGGGGTTGATAAGGCCATGATGAAAAGACATTAGAAGAAGCAGTGTGAAGGTAAATTGTACAGAGTTTAGAGAAGGAAGTATAAAATGATTATCTTTGCTTATTCCCTCAGTGGGTTTATATCCACCCACTGATGTGGGCCTGCTTTGTTTTTTGGTCTTGCACTTCCTGACTTGAGATGGAATCTGGCACTTTCTGCCATCACTGCCTCTTTAGAAGAGCTGCTGCCTTGTCCCACTATAAGTATGGAGGTATGGGCACCCGCTAGGGTCACATTAAAGGGGCAGTTGTTGGCCCTTGTGGTCACAGGCTTCTCTGGCCCCATGCCTCACATTAGGGCGTGTTTTAAACCAACCAAGTACAAGGAGACCCTCCAGATCAGGACTAGGGGTCAGACCAGCCAACACTGGAGCTGAGTGACTGCTAGGCCTGTTTTCTCCTCCTCATGATGGGGGTAATACATCCTGCCCCGTTTTGCGGGTGTTTGGGGATCGGGCAGGACAGGGAGGAGAGCCTCTTGCAGAAGTAGGCATTACCCAAGGCCATGCTCTGGAGCCTCCCTTCCAGCGTCACCATCTGTAGTAAGAGAGCCTCCAAGCTGGGTCCTGGTGGAGATATGGGGCTCCTTGGGTTGTCACCACTGCTGTTGCTGTGGACAGCATGCACTTTGGGGGAGAGGACCATTTCCAGTGCTTCTGATTTTGCTTTCTCTGTATCCAGATGCACAGGCAGGTATATCCTGCTCTCTGGCTAGTTGACCTCTGTCTTCACTTGTTCTTGGCCCCCAACTTTGCCTTTGAATTCAATTTTTTTTCCTTCTCCAAGACAAACTTATTTTGTCGTTATATTATTGCTATCATTAGTGCTATCTTAATATAAAAATCACCTGTAATTATTAAAGAAAAAGCAGACAGGCAGAAAGAGCAGGAAAAGCAACACAATCCTACCCAGAGAAAACCACAGGCAGCACCTTGGTGTATAGCTTTCCCAATATTTTTCATTGAATGTTTTCCAGCTTAAAAATACTAGCAGTATATTCTGAATATTCTTCCATGTTAGCAGATACATTGCTATACCATTATTTGAAAACTTTAGAGAATGTATTAGAAAAAGTTCAATTTACACCTGTGGTACAAAAATTCAAACAGTATACAAAGGTATAAATGCAAAGTCAATCTTCTCCTAGGCCCTCTCTCTGAGGGGAGCGGGGGGACCATGTGCAGGGGGTGTGTGTGTGTGTGTATAATGTGTAATGTTTTTTAACTTAGCCAAATAGAAACATTCTGTAATCATTGTACTTTTTCTTGACTTAAAACAAAATTTTGGAGTTCTCTCCAGACCCTGTGTATGGCTATATATTATTCCTTTTATCTGTTGTATCATACGGATGCACTATAATTTATTTTACCCCAGTCCTTGATTAATGGGTTAATGGTACCAGTCTTTTCTTTTATATAAAATGTTGAGTGAGAATTTTTGTACATAATATGGAGTACACTTGTTAGTATGTATGTAACAGTAAGATTGTACCTGAAGGATACCATTTTAATAGCATAAAGTCGCTCAAAGAGAGTGTGCATTTAAAAATTTTTTTGATAGATATTGTCAAGTGTTTTCCAAAAAAATGTAACCATCTTAAAAATCAGCTCTTGCCTTCTGATAAGTCTTCAGCTCCCTGGTGAAGGCACTGAGAGGCAAACAGCCTCTGAGAGGCTGGAGCACCACGTCTTTCCACCCAGCTTACCTGTTTGGTTCCCTGTTTAGAATAGCCCTGTCTTTTCTTGCTGTCCCTCCTGCTTCCTCTGGGTCCAGTTTCCTCTTAAGGTTATGCCCCCTGGTTGTTGCTGTGATATGTTATTCTGGGATGGGGGAAGATGGGTCCCCTATTTAGATGATGACAACTTAGACCCTTGTCCCCAGCTGATGGTATCAGAGTCCTCCTGGGTAGCTAGTTGCTCGGAAAGGGACCATGGTGTTTTGCACAGCCTGTTTCTTATACCTCATTATTGTTTCTAGGGATAGCTTAATCTTTAACCTCACAGGCTATGGCAGGTTTATGGGGACTTTGTTGTTTGGTAATTGGACGGCCATGCACTGGGCCATCAGCAGAGCTGGTTGGAGGGATGTTAATGAGACCCCATTAATGAAATGGCAATTAAAATTCTTTGGACATGTTGTTTCCATCAGTCTGCCAAAACTGAGCTGAAACCCTCCAGCCGTGGGATGGAAAAGCCATCGGATTTAACGTGTTTGTGGAGAGAAATGACCTTTTTTTGAT